ATACCGCTCATTTTTAGCCCTCGCTATGTGTCGACTTGATCAAAGCCCAAGACGCCGAAGGTTTCTCTGATGAACAGGCTGGCTACATCGCCGGAAACTTGCTGGAAGCTGGTGCTGACACCACGGCTGCCCAACTCACCGGTTTCGTTCAGGCTATGCTGTTATACCCCGAGGTGCAAAAGAAAGCTCAGGAGGAGCTCGACCGTGTCTGCGGCGGTCGCCTCCCAACCATGGACGACTGGGATGACCTACCCTACATCCGCGCCTGTGTAAAGGAAACCAACAGATGGATGCCGACAGCCATTCTTGGCATTGCACACTCCAACAACAAGGAAGACATCTACAATGGATACAGGATACCCAAGGATTCCATGTGTGTGGTGAACGTCTGGTATGTAACCTGCTTTAAACAATTGTGTCGAACACATCAACTGATCTCCGATTCACAGGGCTATTCACATGGATCCCAAGCGCCACCCCAACCCATACGTGTTCGACCCAGAGCGTTACATCGACGACAACACGACATCCCAGGAATCTTCGCAACAAAGAGACGTATCAAAGCGTGACAACTTCCTCTTCGGTGTCGGCCGCCGTATCTGCCAGGGCATGCACATTGCCGATCGCTCCATGTTCCTCGCCATCTCACGTCTGCTCTGGGGTTTCCACATGGAGACGACCCTAGACAGCAACGGCAAGGCCATCGTCCCCGACCCGAGCAAGCTGATCCCCGGTATGCTGGTCCAGCCGGAGCCGTTCCCGGCTTCCATCAACCCCCGCACGCAGAAGCACGCCGAGACCATCCGGTCCGAGTGGGACGATGCCTACAGCCTCCTCGACGCCGAGGAGCAGTGGAAGGAGATCCCCAAGGGTATGCCGCTGTCGACGTACGAACCCGTGACGGCTGCGGACCTCGAGAAAGTCTAAGAAGTGGATTTCTTGAAATATCCAACAGATAGTCTGGCATCTCAGCGCCTGGCTGTCATTTATCGAAGTATATACTCCATGACAAAATTTCTTCCGTCGTTTAGATCTGAATGATCAATGAATGATTTGTTACGAGGATTTTTCTGTATATAGGATGGATGGATCATGGTGACCTGGCATGGTCGGTATGCGGGTGTTTTCTCTTTACATCTTGGGCTTTTTGTCTTTTTTATAACGGATGGGGCGTGATACCATGGAGAGGCAGGCGAGAAACGGGATCCTTATCGTTTTAAATGCATAGAGGATGGAGTCTTGATGGGATATTGGCTTTGGCTAGACTTGCCTTGGCTTTTATAGACAAAATGAACTTTTGAATTTTTAATACTCTTATGATAAAACAAATGTGACATACCTAGCTAGTTTGTTAAACCATGAATTTTATTATGACAGTAAGTTACCTGAATACTATATTTGATTTGAACACAAATTGAGGCAAGCTTGTTTAGATAGGTAATTGAGAAAACCTGAGATAGCATGTTTTTTCTTGATTTTGGACATATGCGCTTGTTAGAACTGTAACATGAAGCTTTCATGGTTTCGATTTGTACCTCTGAGGGTTGGAGTGGTAGATTGATAGCACTTTAGCGTTTCCAATGCCCTAGAAATCTCACTTCTAGGAGACATAGCGAGGTACGGTGGGCAGAGCATACTAGGCACGGCACTTTAAACCACTATCTTAATGACTCTGGGTGGGTTGGCTCAGCAGGCTCGTAAACATACTTTTATATCTCAACTACATGTTTCGTATATTCTCTCTTATATCCTGCCCTATTTACCTATATCCTCCTTGGTGGCCGTTCTACCTTCGTAGCCTTCAATCGCCACCAGACCTGGCAATAAGCATGGATACTTGGGTGGTCGCGGAGAACAGACTGCCACAAGTGTAAAACAATTTTAAATTCCACGATAGGAGATACAAAATACAAATGACAATTTGAAAACATCGAACACTCTTTAAACAGGCCGTTGCCTAAGTATACTCAATCCCACAGTCAGTATGACTCCATCTCATCTGCCCCTTATTTGGAGACACCCATGCAGGCAAAGTACTCCTTGAAAGAGCCGACCTCAACAGCCATGACGCCCTCGCGGTCAAGCAGGGAGGCCGGACGCCAGTACTCGGGCTCGACACGGGTCAAGATACCAGCGTAGCTCGTCAAACCCTGGGGCTCGGTGACGCCCCACGGGTTGCGGATGATGATGTACTGCTTGTCGCCCTGGCCGACCGAGGACCAGCCCAGCACCGAGTAGGCGTGGTTAGCCACGAGATTGCACCCGCGGTACCGCCCCTTGTCGCTGGCGTAGGTCCACGCGACCATGGGACAGATGGTGCGCTGGTTGACGCTGCACTTGCGCACCATGCCGACCAGGTCGTGGGCTTCGTGCTTCTCCGTGAAGAAGTACTGCGGCTCGCGCCCGGTGATCTGCGCCATTGCTTTCACGGGGTCGCCTTGGTACGTCTCGGTGATGTCGACGTGCTCGCCGCGCTCCCCGCCGCTGCTGGCTGCGATGGCCTTGGACTTGCGGTAGCTCCAGTCTGGGTTGGCGGTGGCGTTGTCGTTGCTGCCGCGGATCCATTTCGCGAAGGCCTTTTCGTAGAGCGAGGGCCAGAGGGCCAGGCCGTCGCTGGAGCGGCAGTAGACGAAGTCCTCGCTGGAGTTGTTCACGGGGACGCGGTAGTCGACTTCGATGGTCTGTGTGAATATGACGTTAGTAATTGCTATTTCCGGTGCTTGGCTGGGGAATACTGACCTGCGTCTTGTTGTTGTTGCGTCCGCCCTTGTCGTGGAACTTGACCTTGAAGCACTGCTTCTCGCGGCCCTCGCCACCGTGCATGTGGTCCTGCACCGTGGTGTGGCGGTTGATCATCGACGGGTCCGCCCAGTAGACGGAGAACAGCGCGGCGACGAACCAGCTGTTTCCAGTCGCGCCCTGGATCGGGTCGTCGAACTTGCGCACGGCGTGGAACTCGCGGGATCCCCCGCCGTAGTCGAAGAGGGTGTTGTAGTCGGAGATCATGCCACGGCGCATGTTGCGCATCACGAGGACGTCACGGGCGTCGCGCCACGAGCTGTTGGGCGGCGTGAACGACTCCTTCTGCCCGTCGCGGTGGAAGGGGAGGCAGAAGTCGTTGATTGTCTGCGTCACCTCCCGGTTGCAGACCGTTCGGGCGATGCTGTTCGCGTGCAGGACTAGATGGAGCTTGTTGTTCTGGATCCCGGCGCGCTTGATGCGGACGTTGTTGATCTCGTTCATGCCGACGCCCTCGAGATCACCGAGCTTCTCGAGACGGCTGAGGTCTGGGGTCACCAGGTCCTTCTCCTTGAGGAGCTTCGTCTCGTCCTCCTCGAGGCGCTCGGCCATGCGCTCTTTCTCATTCAGCTTGAGACCGGCGTAGAGGACCGAGTGGTGCTTCATGTCAAAGAGCTCCTCGTAGTCGGTCTGGAGGGTGTCCTGGATGATACGGATCGCCGTGAGGGATCGACGATCGATCTTGTGGCCGACCATGTTCTCGGCGAGCGCGAATGGGTTGATACATCCGACCGCGACCTCCTCGGGCTGAGGATCGGGCTCGGGCTCATCCTGTTGCTGCTTTCCCACGCGCGATCCTCGGAAGTCGCTCAGGTCATCGTAACCCTCGGCGGCCGCAGGTCGGTGAGGAAGGACGCTATCGTATCTGCGTCCGGAGAGCGCCTCGATGAGCATGTAGGGGTCAATGGGCCCGATGTTGGAGGTTTGGGAACGAGAATCGTGGGAAACCATCTTGACGATTGGGATATCGGAGTGGTATAGTAAGTAAATTGGATATGGCGAAGTGTGTAAAGACTGATGATGATGATGATGCCTTGGAGACTGCTGTCGAGCAATGGCTAATGGCTAAATCACGGTACGACCGAAGCACTTTATACACGTCCATCGCCACGTCTCGGTCCCAATCATGGCAGTGGAGGAAGGGGATGAGTAAGTTGACATTGACGTTCAATCTTCCTTGTTTACCTACCTTGTTGATCTCGCATCTCCAGCAACCGATGCTCTTACCATGCCATGGACGTCAACACGAGCTGTCATCCCCAGGAACCCCCATATTCTTTACCTGACGTCCATGCAGGTGTTACATTGACTATACGTAAATTCTGGGGGAGCTCCATCTTGGTAGGTTTTCGGCCCTGCCCGATTGAAGTTTCCCCCCAGCCCAACAGGTACCAGTAAAACCATCAAGGTTGGAGATGATTCCATTTCATTGATGTCTTTCTGCTTTGACAAATTATACTCGAGTTATACTGTAGTCTATGACAGCATCACGTAGCCTCGCAGCCTGGGGAGAGAGAACTTAATTGGTAGTTCGAGGCATAGCCAGGGCAGCCTCGCCAGGATTGATCGCTGCCAAGTAGCATCGGCACCAGTCATCCCAACTTTTGAGGACTCAAGATTATAGGGGGCATGGAGATTTAGCTCAAGGTTCGGTCTGTCAAGCGTCGCCAGCGGGGTAATTAGACTTTGACATGCAAAAGGCCACAGTCCGTTTCTGACTGCCGCGCGGCACACGATTCTATTTCTGCTTGTCGAGCGCAAGGAGGAAGTATGCTCAATAAGCGTTAGCTTTTCTCCCCCCCGCGACCAAGCAAGCAGCCTCTACATACCATTGTGCTATCAATCTTAGTGGGTGCACCGGCTTCTTTCCGTGGAGAGACCAGAGCGAGTGAATGAAAACAAGATTCGAGTAGTATTTGAGCGCATGATTGAACTCGCTCATAATATTGCATCTCACTAGGTGAAGATACCATACAGAGAGACCTCAGCATTCGTAGTGACTAACATGTTGGAGTGTTTTATTTACACTGCTTACCCACCCAATGAATGATACCTACCTATCCACAACATTGCCAGAAATCTCCCTCCTCTTCTGCCACACCAACCCACCTGCCTAGAAAAATAAAAAAGGAGGCATCGTTAATCAAGTGCTGCCCCACCACATACATCATACTCTTAAAGAGGGACCAAAAAGTAATTTTTGAGAGCCGCAGGATTCGAACCTGCGCGGTTTCCCACTGCGGGATTTAAGGTATAAACCAACTTCCGAAGAGGCTGATTTAACTATACCTAAACACAGCGCCTTAACCACTCGGCCAGACTCCCAGTAAATATTGCAGATATGGTATCAATAGGAGGAATCGAACCTCCCAACGATTTGGACTCGCGGGGAATCGAACCCCGGACCACTCCCATGCTAAGGGAGTATTATACCACTAAACCACAAGCCCGGAAGGAACCGAGGTGATGAGCTTTCGTTCCTTGGTGGAGACGTCGCTCACTAAAATGGAATCTAGGCGTGCTTGGGGGTTGGGGTGTAACGCTAGGGAATATAGTCTTGAAATGTATGCATTGAGGAGCTGCTTTGAAAGTACGATGGTAGAAGTCGGATTAGGGGCTAGACATGGTGGTTTTAAAAGGCGAATAGACGGGAATGAATTATAGATATCTTTCTCAATTATAAAGCAAGTAGAGCAAGCCAAACAAGCCGAATCTGGCGCGGGCTAACATGGTGACTGAGCTATCTGATCGGCTGCAACTGTTTGGCCCCTTTCACCATGCCTAAGCAACACTGCCAGCCTGGTATTTAAAGATGTGCCCGCCATCCCATCAGTGCCTATAGGGCTAGAAGAAAGGAGGGGGGATAGCATTGGGTTGTGTATTTCTTTGATTTTTTAGTGTGGGCGGCTATTCGAGCTCTGGTAAAGGCGGCTAGCCTTCAATAGTCATCACGCCCCCCTAATATATGCGTTCTTCCATTTCCTAGATGTTGTTAACTGGATAGAACCCGGAACAAATACTGTCCATTGCCCACTCAACCCATGCATCCCAAGACGTAATTCTCCCGTCAGTGACTATACTTCAAAGGTTAATAAACTCAACACTGGAGCAGACGAAACATCATAAAAAGTGATATGTTTGAAAGAGAAATCATACGTATTAGTTGACCCTCCTCCAGGCGGAGGGGAAACTTCTCGTTAGCTTCAGCCCAACTACTTTTAATATCGATGAACATCTCCTTTACGTTCTCTCCTCGGTTACACCACCCGCAGCGGACTTTTCTATCGCGCGGATCTATATAGAGACGGAAGAAAGGTATAGTGGTGCATTCGAAGCATTTCGCATCCAGGATTGCGCGCGATAGAGCGTGATAGCTGAAGTCCTTCAAAAGGCTTTCAGCGACTCTGAAGTTGCCAGCCCGACGATACCGCGACAATCGTTGAAAGAGGCACTGTCTAAGGAATAGATAGTGTTTATCGGACCAGAGGATGAACTGCGCTTGTCGATTGACTCTGGTAAACTTGGCGGCACTGGGCATGTCGAGATATTCGAGGATCTCGTATATGAGTTCTAGAGGCAGCTTCGAAAGCGTGCCGAGGTCGGCCAGCACAACAGGGGTAAGTGACATGGTGAGATGATGTCCCGGGCGGAAAGAACGCAGTAGCACAGGCTGCAGGGTTGACGGCGCAGTACGTGGCGTTTGAGAAGACAGATGGTGGGAGACTCGGATGGTTTCTTGATTGCAACAGGTTATCGACGGCGAGGGCAAGCGCGGTGGCTTGTATGCTGATCTTGATGAGCGAGCGACTGTGGAAATTGATATGGGCGAGGGAGAGAAGATGTAAGGGTGAAAAAGTTTGCACAAGTATAAAAAGGGAGAAAAATGGCAAAAAAGGGAGGAAAATGGCAAAAAGGGAGAAAAATTGAGCGTTGCCTACATTGTGCGATGCAAATTAGACTCCCCTCGACCACGGAAAACATGACGATGGCACACATGGTCAAATATGTTTGAATTCTATGCAAAGAGACGAGCCTCTACTATATCAAAGATGAATTGAATTAACTATTTCATGAATGTTTAGGGAATGACCGCGCTGTCCGCTTTATCTACCTAGCATAGAACGATCGATCGAGACATATTGTCGAAAAACCCAACCGACAGCAAGCCGTCCAGCATAGTAAGAGACCTACTGTTGAAAGATAGATTTCTATCTCTCTTCCTTTGACGTTCTATTCCTGCGTCTTTCGTCTCTTCGAAAATGTTACCCCCGGTCTTATATCTAACGTATACACCTGCTGACCGTCCTGATCCAGTTCATATGTAGGCTCTTTCGTGTATCTGCGCTTCTCCGGCGCTTTAGGACGCGACTCCAGCTGCTTTCGCCCCAAAATGGGTTCGTTCCCGCCGACATCACCACTACCACCACTGTTACCGCCCTCTTCTCGCCTTGGTTCCCCCAGCTGATCCCGCGGGTGCGGATACGAAAAGCGAGCCTTATAAGTTCTGACGAGAACCCGATGGGCAGCCGTATAAATCTCTTTGAACTGCGCAAAGAGAACGAGGAATTCTGTCCGCACCCCAAGTAAATCTAATCGCTCTTCTACTGCCCATTGGATGTGTTTGCCCACGTAATTTCGGTGGAGGGAAAGGCTGAGTTTGTTTAGATCCATTGATGATTCAATCGCTCGTTTTGCTGCGAACATGAAGAGTCAGTAAGTCATTGATATCTCTTCGCAAGGTGCTTCCCCATCTACACCACACTTTAATAAGTTGACTTTACTTACTCAACCAGAATAGTCTGTGCTCTGCGTAGGCCGTGGGGACGTTATCCCCTGGGGCATCTAGCACTTCACTTTCCACCCGCTCAGCGAACTCCAGCGCTTCGTAGCATATCCTGCGTGTTTTCTCAATCTCTTTCCTGAATATCCCTAGGTCTTCCCGCTTGCGCTCGCAGTACAATACGGCCGGATCAAGAAAATTATCCGGCGCATCCTCTTTAACCTTTTCAGCCCGTCCGGCCTCAGACCAGGGGTTCGAACTCGAACTCGAACTCGAACTCGAGCTAGAGCTAGAGCTAGAGGCCTTTATTTCTGTACCCTGGTTCCCCATGACATCCCAATCCTTTCCCCCGATACGCGCGGCGTTGCTCATAGACTTAAGATCATTAGATAGCGCATCCATCATGGCTCTTGTCTTATTTTGTACATTCCTGATGAGTCTGTGTGCTGGTGGCTGCTTTTTCGAGGGTGCCAGGTCTTGCCCATATTTCAGTTCAGGCTGGTCATCTCCGGGAGGCTGTATGGGAAACACCCCCAAGCGAGCCTTCCAGTTCAACTTCTCCAGTGTCTTCATCGCTGCGCGGCCCAGCGCCTCGGCGCGTACAGAGTCGGGATTAAACCAAGAGCGGAGAGGGGCGAATAGCGCCCTTGGTATGTCGAAGTCGCCCGTCCAGTACATTGTGCTGATGCGATCCAGTAATTGAGACACTACAGAGTAAGCCACCAGTCCCGAGGCGAAATCCTCTTTCTCCCCTTGATACGGTGGTAACCAGACATCGTGCCTCTTGGTTCTTCGCATTCGGTCGCCCACCAGCTCGGACACGCGGTCCACTGTCCTTTGATAGGCCTCGGGGTTTCGAAATACCCCGCGAGCGTCTATGACGGCCCAGTCCGTAATCTGGTCGTATATGTCGTGAGTCTCAAGACTTGACGGCTTATAGTGTAGTACAACCGTTACGTAATAGGGGCTCTGAGGTGTCCCGGCGTCGACGACCCAGAATATGAACTGTTTGTTGCCTGAGTCGAGAGGAGGGAGCAACCCGGTCCTCAATGCATTCAGAGTTCTTTGGAATTTTTCATCGTCCTGGGAGAACCAGAGGGGTTGACCGATCACTGGTCCGGTGTCTGGATCTGAATAATCTGCACCCAGGTGTAAGCCGACCCTATCCTGGATGTTCTCAGGAAGGGCGTCGACCAGGGAACTCAGGATGATCTGTAAAGTTGGCGGATTGAAAAAGGCTGACCGGGATCGCTGGATGAGGTCGAGCGCATGTATCTCTTTGTCTACCCCCTCGAAATCTGCTAAATACTCTCCTAATTCCTCGTCGGTGCCTTTAAAGGGTGTAAATGAAGCATCATGGCCCAAGTTGACGATCTGTGCCCAGCGCAGCCAGGATCGCGCGCCTGGGGTATTACCGGCCGGGGCTATTTTCGTCTCAGCCATTTTCCACGTTTTTAAACTTTCTCTTACGGATACGCGCTTATCTCAAGAATACAGCATCGATAAGAAGCTGACTGGCAGGTCTATGTTTAAGGAGGAATATATGAGATAAGCCCACGTAACCCACGTGTGAGCAATTCCACCAGCGCAAAGGAAATCATTTCTTAAAGAATGTGTACCTGTTGAAACGGACACTGTTGATCAATGTGACGGGGAGAACAATGAGACGTCGTTGAGCTCGAGATGCCTCTAACAAAGAAGTGTGGGCTGAAAACGGCTTCTCGCGATGCTTTCGCGACATCTGCCCCCTTTCCTATCTTTGTTATATTCTTTTCGTTTTATTTAAGATCAATGGCCCTTTTCTTACTAAAGTCTAGTCAGTCAGGAACAGTTCTTGAATCAATAATATTTTACCTCACGGTAACTAACACTCCTTTACCTTACATTCTTTTACCGCATTTTTTACTTTGCATCACCTTGTATCGTGCTCTACATTACACTGTATCTTATCCATTCCTTTTCATTACCGTCATTACTTTACAACGTAGATCATGATCGTGGGCTCAGGGACATGGGGAGACATGGTGAATCGAGTCATCGATGTTGTTAGGTTAGAAGGGGCCGGCAGGGATATATGATATATCGACCGAGATAACCCCCGCAGTGCTTCACGGCCTTAAGGGATCAGATGAGATGGGGTATATAGGTACATTCCCTATTTCTACATCTTTCCTACTCAAAATATTTGCTCAAATGACTTGTTCGGACGACGCCAACAAGAAGCGTTTATAGCGGCGCTCGTTGAGGATAGAGGCTTTTCTTTTGTTGGGTTGTTTGGTCGTGGCGTGAGAGCTGGCCTGCCTAGGGTATTTAGATCTACATAATGTTCTGTTCCTGCTATGAGATGGATTATTGAGAGTTCGGCTTGTATCGCATACTTTTCTTGTCATGACGGCATTGAGATTACATTGCAATTTCCAAGGAGGAAAAGAGATGATTTACGAGAACATATGCAAGTCAAGGATGGATAGAATTACACATAACACTAGAGACAGAAAGACAGGAATGATGATGATAGAGGCCGTGAGAAGATGGCCTCGTTCCA